GCTGCCTCCCGGCTGGGTCTGGGCAGCGCCTGGCACTGCGGGGGGTGTTTGTGGTCAGGCCTCCGCCGCGGTGCTGCTGCGCTGGGAGGACAAGTAACTGCCACGGGTGGCTGGGATGATCTTCTTCCCTCGTCAAAAATGGCTTCTGTGTCATACTCATGTTGCCTTGAATTATTGAGGTGTTTTCTTTGGTTTTTTTTTTTTTTTTGGTGGGTTTTTTCAAGGTTTAGAGGATGAAAGACGTTTTTAATGAATATCTGTATGAAAATTGTGCTGTGATTGGGCCGGGGGATGAAGTTGTATGGGTGCAGCCCAGTGATAACTCATGTGTGTATATGCCTGATAGCCATGTTTGGTGGCAGAAACCGTTAAAAAAACGTAAGTGTGACCAAGGGACAATGTTAACAACAACAAAAAAATCCCCTCGCTTTGAAAACAGCCTATTTACATGCAAAATGCTTACACAGTTATGTGAATAACAAAAATGAGCTTTTTGCATTTGTGAATTATGCACAACCAGTTTCATGTATTAGCCCTGTTAACCAAATATGCTAACAACAGAAATGACGCAGCTGATAAACATCCTTAGCATATTTCATCTTTTCAAAATGATTTTGAATTACTCTGTTTTATGTAACATAGCTTATTTGTGTAATTTTGCATGTAGGCATATAGTTGCATTCTGGAATTTCCCAGATTTTTACAAGAAGAAATGACACCTGGTGTTATTCTGGAAACATTTAAACTAATCTGTTCTTAAATGGTTGAAACTTTGAGCCACTTTGCTTCTTGCGCTAATTTAGCTCAGTGAGAGAGTCTTCTTCAAAGCTCCTACGTGTTAAAAGCCACGTGTCCTCCTTCTGGAGCTGTACAACTACAAGTTGACATTTTGGAGTTAGCCAAGCTGGAAAGGTGTTTGAGTTCCTGTCGTACTCAGGTTCTTAAACATGTCTTGTTACTGGTCCGTATGTCAATATTTGACACATTCAGTATTGTTATAGGAAGTATTCAAAATGACTTTTTAATCTGTATTCTGCCTAAAACTATACACAAGAAACCTGGAGCCAGAAGTGAGATCCTGCTGTGCTGGATACATACATATTTCTTTTAAGGATTACCAGATGAACTTGCTATGGATAGCGCTTCTTTTGAAGTATATTCATAATCTATTTCTTGCTTTTGGATAGCCACAAGAGATAAAGGGGAGGAAGTAGCATGTTTCATGGTAATGAATGAGATACGGTTGAGTACAATTTTCTCAGACTTCCCTAAACTGTAGGGAGGAGGGCAGGGAGTTGAGCCCAGGCCTCCCAAATAGAGGTCCAGAGGAGCAACCATGCTCCCTCTCCAAGTTCTAATGTTAGAAAACTTTTAATCAAGAGGATGTTGCAAAATTAATTTGCATTAAAGGTGGTCATAGTACATTATCTAAAATAACAAAGCAAAGTATTGTCTTAGATATTTGATTTATCTAGTATATAGACTCAATTGAAATAAATGGATATGCTTTGCAAAGTCTGGTGGCTGTCAGCATTTATTCTGGAAGTGCCTACTTTTTTATTTAACATCATATCAAAAATATTTTAACTTCTGTATTACCAAATTTTGATTCTCTGCCTTCTTTCTTTGTATGATCAAAGTACTTCTAGAAACATCACTGCCACCTGGGACTACCAGTTTTTCTAGAACTATTTGATTTCATTCTGGATGAGTTACCCTACCTACTGTTCCCATAGATGATGCTGAAAGATACAGCATTGAAAAATCTTCTGTGTTTTAGTTTAGTAGGCTTAAAAATCACTATTAGCAACAGAAACCCCACAGAGGAAATACATTTCACTTTTATTAGAAAACTCTCCTAGGAAGGCAGAGGATTATAATGAGGTTTAGTAGACATTTAATTGCCATCTAAACTTTATCCATTACCAGTGGGATTGGCTGTAGTTGGTTTATAGGTAATTTGCTTGCGGTGACTGGATGCATGTTTTCGTTGTCTTGACCCAGCACCGTTGCTCTTCCATCACAGCATATATGATATGAACATCAGCATTTTTCTGTAGTGTTTATCCTGTATTTTTACTTAATCCAATTCTTCATTTTGGTGTTACATTGCTTTAATTTCTCTCTCTTTTGCCTCCTAGGTCTTCTTGTGGGAACATTAGACGTGGTTTTGGATTCCAGTGCCAGAGTTGCCCCATACCGTATTCTGCACCAGACTCAGGACTCTCAAGTGTATTGGGCAGTGGCGTGTGGTGTGTATTGATTGGACTCTTCTCAGGGACAGGATTTGTGTTACTCTGTTGTCTGTTTGGTTCAGATGATCAGTTATCCGATGTAAGAGTATTTTGTGACTGCTCAGGAAACTTCCCAGAGCTTCTGGTGGGGTAGTGGAATATGCCAGAATGGCAAAACTTCTCAGTGTTGTTTAAACTGTAGTGTAGGAACTTAAGGCTCTCTAAAAACTTCTGTTTCTGCATATGTTATGAATTTTCTTTCTTCCAAGATTTGCAAGGTCATAGTAAGATTGTTCAGAGAATAAAACTGTGGTGATAAGATTGCCGTGGGATGACGAGTGTTGTGCCAAAACCTGTTTACCAGGAACATGTAAAGAAAAAAAAAATCTCTTTACTGTCTTGATCCAATTTATTTTTTTCTGCTATTTCTGGCTTGTGATAGATATGTAGGTATATTATCTCTGTAAAATATATTACAATTGTATCTTTTTAAAGCATCAAGAATCCTTCACCTCTTTTACTTGAGAAATGTAACTGCTGTATTAGATATTCTCATGGTACAACCTTCTAATATCTGGTGGTGAACTTTGATTAAGGCTTTAGGTCCTACTGGTTGCTAAAGAGAAAATGTCTTCAGATATATTTGTTAGACTGATTTTGTTTACAATAAGAATCTTCACTTCTCACTTGGTGGTTGAGATGTAAAATCCAAGCATGAAGTAACCATTTGCTAAGCCCACAGACACTGACATCATTTTCCCTGTTCCCATCTTCTCCCCAGGCAACCGACACAATATTCTCCCTTGCAGAGCTACTTAAATTTTGCAGAAGAGAGGTTTAGAAGTTGCTGTGTTTCACAGAAACTCAGTTTCCCTTTTGAGAAGGCAGAGAGGAAGAAAGACAGAAAACAAAATGGCAGGCCAGAAACTGCTTAGTAAAAAGCAGAATATTTAGTGGCCGCATATGGTGCAAATCTGAAATTTTATAGTATCTTGACACTCGATGAGTGTGTTCTTTTTGTACAATTGCAGGAGTCTTTAGTTGATATCCTCTATATCTCAGTTACTTTTAAGTAATGCAGCACGGTAAAATGAGATGGGCTATGTAAGAACTGAATGGAATTTGATAAATTATTATTATGCTGGAGTAAATACATTGTCGTCATCCAAAGTATTTTTTTAATCATATCTGGTTCTCCTTTTACCATTGAAGTAAGAACACTGGCATTCACTTAAATTGTAAAATGTGTATGGCTTTCTAGTTGAAAAATGTGTATTATTTTACTTACAATTTTTCATGTGTAAATACTAGTGGGCAGCATTCTGGTCATGTATCCAGCTTTGGCCTTTCAGTGCTTTCTTCTTACAACTCTCTTTGTAGGAATTGCAGAATTTTACTCCTTCATGTATGCCATTCTAATGTTGTTCTTACAAAGACGTCAGTTATTGAGGCCTGGCTTATTTTAGCAATTTGTCTGCTGTCATTTGGTGAGAGATGCAGCTCATGAAAGAAAACAGAATGCAGACTTTATTCCCAGGCCATTGTTGCTGGACCTGTGGTTTTTTCCCACAGCCAAAGTATCCTATAATTGATAATTCTGTGCCTTTAAAATAAGCCATTTCATATTACTCAAAATAATTTATGCTTTAGAAACATGGTCAGATGGCTAGGATAGATGTCAATACACAGAGGCTAAAGAAAAAATATTTTTCTTTAATCCTAATCCCCCCTAATCTATGGGGCTGTACACACAAACTCGAATTCATAGCCCTGCATTCCTTTGAGACAAGACAGCTTTACTTGCTTCTAGCTTTTGGTTTCAGGTCCTGGAGTTATTTTTGCTTATGAAACCACAGATTAGCTTGTGTTGGGTTTTGTGGTTAGGTGTCCAACTACAAATACACGAAGACTATTTCATTGCTGAAGCTACCTCTAAAAAAAGAAAGTCAGGTAGAATAATAGCTTTAGGGAACTGCTTGTGTTGTGTGCTGCTTTCTTCTTTTCCATCATTAACCACACAGAGGGGTGTGATGTACTCACAGAGAAATCGAGTACTGGGAATCATGCTGGTAGCATTTTTAGATGTCCCACTGCTTTTGTATGAAACTTCAGAAGATAAATTTACTGGAATTTGGCAGAGAGAAACTTACAAATGTCTTTGATTTGCATTTAAACAGATTTCTTTTTGTCTGCATTTAACGATCTTTCTTATCTTGTTAAAAAAAATTAATTGCTGTTTTTATTTCTTCTGATTTTTTTTCTGTACAAGACCATATAGTGATAGCCATTGATAGAGAGGAAGAAACCTTTTAGTAAACACAAATCTTTTAATTAATGGCAATTAACTAAGGCAACTTTCTATAGAAAAGTTCTTTAAATTGGTTACACAGTGCAGCTTATCCTTTGTGTACTGTTATAGACTGTATAGTTAAAGACAACTAACTGATATAAGCTTTGCTGAGATTTTTATTTAAGAAAGCAAAGAACTTTCTGGCATGTGAGTATTTTAGTTGCTTTTTGTTTTGGAGTTGTATGCTCTTTGCTGACTGTTGCCCATGGAAAATGGAACCTCTTTGTAGGCGTCAAAACTTCAGTTGTTCTGAAATTTCAAGGTTCTTCTGAAAGTTCATTATTTTTATTCTAGAATACCAGGAATTAAAAGAGTAATTCTTGTCTGGGGAAAAAAAGCTGTTTGGTGTGCACTGGCAAATAGGATGATGTATTGGTAGTGTGCTGATTATCCTTGGTGTCAGTGGAGACATTTAATTAGAAACAGAACGTTGGTGTACATAAAATACCCTTGACATGTATACAGTTGGTGTGTTTGATTTGTCCTGATCACTGTTTGGTAATTATTAGTTTCCTACTGTGAACTTGGGGGATAAAAGACCTTGTTCTAATTTATTTTTATTTGGTTTTCCCATCATCTTTCACTCCTTCAATTAGGATCATCTCGTAAAGAGATCACAAAGCATTGGGAATGGCTGGAGAATAACTTACTGCAGACTCTATCCATCTTTGATAATGAAGAAGATATCACCACCTTTGTCAAGGGCAAGATACACGTAAGCAATGTGTTTCCCTGAAGAATGGAGAGGTGGTTTAAGAATTTTTTACCCTTGGGAGGGAGCAAGAGCTCCATCGCAAAACTTCTCTCTGCTCCCTTTTGAGATATGCATACATTTGGAATTGTTATGGAATGCATACAGTATTATCAGGATCATGCTGCAGTCTTAACACTGGACAAATGTATTTGCCGGGGGGGGGGGGGGGGGGGGTAGATCTCAAGAACAGCCTGCTTAGGATGCTCCTACTAATTAAAATATAATATGTCTTTTAAATCCTTTCCGATTGTATCTTTGATGCAGAGAGAGTGTTTAATGAGGGTTCATCTAGCAACAAATACGGGAGAGAGAATTCTAATTTGCAAGCAATGTACTTGTCCTGTTAAAATGATGTAAAAGGCATCTAGGTTGTGAAGGAGCTGCACCCCAACTTCCACTGGCTTCTGAATCAGATAGGTGTCTCTGCTTGTTGTGCAGTTAACACACCTCAGATACCGATCCCACAAATTCTCCAGAGTAGAAACTTATAAATACAAGGGTTTTTACTGAACAGCAGCAATTTGAATCTTTTCCAGTACTCCAGTCAGATTCTTTGTATTTTTTCTGATTGTGAGAGAGATTGTGGTCATTTGTTTTTCCTTCTGGCCAGTCAAGATCTGACAGACTGCAGAGTTCAGCCCTTCCTGGCAGATGATCTTCTTCCTCTTGAAGAAGCATGTTTGCAAGTGAAAATAGACTTCAGTTCTCCTGCAGGGTGTTCAAAGTGTTACCAGGCCAGTCATGAGAAGCTCAGTCAAAAGTTAAACGTGGATCCTTGTTGCGTGCATTCAGGAGTAGATCCTGCATCATAGACTCCCTGACTATCTGACTGCTCTTTCTACGTGTCTTTACCATTTCTCTAACATGACAGGAGAAATGATAACTGCTGTGGCATGTGTCTTCTTTCTGTCTTAGGGATTGCTGCTGTGACCTTTTGCTGTATATTATGTTTGTCAGCAGACATGTTCCCTTCCATTTCTTCTCTCTCTCCTCCCATGTCTGTTCAGGGAATTATTGCTGAAGAGAACAAGAATGAGCAGCCCCAGAGTGAAGAGGATCCAGGTAAATTCAAAGAGGCTGAACTGAAGATGCGGAAACAGTTTGGGATGCCCGAGGTGGAGAAGTTGGTCAATTACTATTCCTGCAGCTATTGGAAGGGGCGTGTACCCAGGCAGGGCTGGCTGTACCTCACCGTCAATCACCTCTGTTTCTACTCCTTCCTGCTGGGCAAAGAGGGTGAGTTGTAAGCCTCATAGTTGTTTTTCTGTCGTTTCCTATGATCTTTTTGATGCAATTGGTCTTTTGTGTGAACTTTTTTTTAGATGACAGTTTTTTTCCTTTTAGAAATCCTTTGAGCTCTAGCTCAATGCATAGATCCTTGCACTCATAGGCACTTCAGTGATGTTTAGACCGAGTGTCTGAGTCATTTGTCAAGACATTTCTTAAGTTGTACAAGTACACCTGAAGTTTTACTTCAACTGGATTAGAGAACCAAGCAATATGTTGACTTTGGTGAGTTTTATTTGGAACCACCGCCAGGACCCAGTATTTACAAAGCTTGAACTCCTGAGTCCAAAGCTAATTTGCTGGAAAGAAAGACTGAAAACTTGTGTAATTGTAGCTGAAGGTATTCACTGGATGGGAGATGGTCCTTTTGGAACTGCATTATTTCTAGTCTAGTTAATCCCAAAGGTTACTTCCAAGTATTTTTGGAGAACCCAGTAAAAGTATGAAGAAAAGAATTGTCCATGTGTAAGAGGGGAAAAATGCTGCTACACTGAGAGCTTAATTTCTGATTGTTTGTTGTTTTGCCTTGAATTGTAATAGTAGTTTTTTTGAACTTTTTTTCCCAGTTACACTGGTGATCCAGTGGGTGGATGTAACCCAGCTGGAAAAAAATGCTACACTGCTGTTCCCTGAGTGCATTAAAGTAAGCACGAGGGACAATGAACTTTATTTTTCCATGTTTCTCAACATCAACGAGACATTCAAACTGATGGAGCAGTTGGCTAACATTGCTATGCGACAGCTGTTGGATAATGAGAGCTTCCTACAGGACAAGTCCCTCCCAAAGCCCAGGAAGCCTCTTAAGAACATCTCTGCATTAAAAAGGTATACGTTTCCAGCAGTGAGAAGAGAAGACAGATAACAGGGGATTGTAATAATAAATCTGCATTACTGTGTAGCTCCCAGGTGCCAGTGGGGTTTTCTCACTGCTGCATCACTTATTTCAGTCATTAGCCTTCTGCCTATTCTTTTTTTTTTTCCATCCCAAATTGGTACTGAGTTCACACACACCCTCATGTCTTTCTCATGCATGACTAGGCACTGTCACACAGAATTTTCAGCTAGAAACTGTTGAAAATCCTATTTAAAAAAAAAAAAAAAAGTAGAAAATTACATCAGCCCCCTTGTCTGAAATTGGAGATTTATAAAAAGTAGTATACGTTTGTATTGTAATAAATCCTTCCACTGGGGACTCTTCTCTGCAGTTTCAGAATCTGATGTAACATTCAAGTTTCGCAGATGCACTTGCATATTTTATCTTGTATTGCAGGACATACCTTGTCAGTGAAGCATATCTGAAGGCTGAAAGAGGAGTCAGATAAGGGGTGGCATCTCAGTTAGAGAAGTGAATGCTAAGAATACACAGCACAGTCTGAAGGTTGTGATTGGAATGAATACTTAACATTAGTGTTTGAGTGGATTTTTCAAGTGAGAAAAAACCTCTGAGGACTACTCTTTATTTTTCCCCATCCAGAGACCTGGATGCTCGAGCCAAAAATGAATGCTACCGTGCCACTTTCCGGTTGCCCAAGGATGAATGCCTGGATGGACATACAGACTGTACCTTGTGGACACCATTCAACAAGATGCATATTCCTGGCCAGATGTTTGTTTCCAACAATTATATCTGTTTTGCCAGCAAGGCAGAGGAGGCCTGTCATCTCATCATTCCACTCAGGGAGGTGGGGATTTCTTAGCTGTGTGTTAAGACTACAGGCCTTGTCTTTTGTGTGCTTCTAGCTTTTGTGCAGTACTTTACAGATAAAGGAGAATCTGCTAGATCCAAATGGCCCTTGTCTTTGTCTTCTAGGTGACAATAGTTGAGAAAGCAGATAGTTCCAGTGTCTTGCCCAGCCCTCTGTCCATCAGCACTAAAAGTAAAATGACCTTCTTCTTTGCCAATCTGAAAGACCGAGATTTCTTGGTACAGAGAATCTCTGACTTCTTGCAGAGAACGCCATCCAAGAAACCATGCAGCAGCGACAGGGAATGGAAGTGGAATTTGGGCGATCCTGGTTGCGAGGTATTAAGGAAATAGCTGGGAGGAGCATATGTCAACTTTTCAGAGTAGTGCTCCTTACAGTGTGTTAACAGTACTCTTTACCAGCAAATGATGTCTCTTTGTTAGACAATTAGCAGAGGAGGGAGGCTGCCTGAGCTCAGATGCTTTATCTTGTCTTGTTTAGGAAGTTCCAGAGTTGCCTTCCAGCAGCCCTCTTGCGGTTAGCCCCACGTGTTCTCTGAGCAATCGACCTGTCAACTTCTCTGCCGGGCAAGTGCCAACAGCCTCACAGGGACTACTCAAACTCTTCAGAAGAAATTCCGAGGAGCTCTTGGGACCTAAAGGAGTAAATAATATTTTCATGTAAAACAATTAACTACAAATAGTTTGCAGTAGATTGCAGATTTCCTGTCCTGCTGTAAGACTCTGAAAATGCATTTTATCCGTGGTCAGTCCTGCAGGATCACTGCTGTGTCTGTCAAAGTGATAGTGCTGCATAGATGTAACCTGACCATCAGCTTACTTTATCAGTACTGAGGTACCTGAGATACTTGACTAGAGGCTGAGAAATTAGTGTTACGGTGCATCTGGGATGTAAGTTCATGTCTGTGAAGAACTACTTTTCTTCAGATCAAGGAACCAGAGAACTGGTATCTCTGCTTCCTTGTTAATTGTCTTAGACCATGGTTCTGCTTGCATTTATGTAGAGGTTTGCAAGATGTAATGCCATTGCCCAGCCCATGGTAGCATTGTAAAGACTTGACTTTCTGAACTAATTCAGAACAGTGTAGATTAGCATATACCCTTTTATTCAGCAG